TTTCAGAATCTTGCAAGAAAAATATCCAAACAATACTCAGAATTTGATAGATTATGCAATAATCAGCTACAATAACCCAATACATCGTTCACCAAGTTTTACACCTTTCGAATTCACCTTTTGACATACAAAACCCCGAAATCCCGAAGAAATATTTTGACCCGCAAGTTTTTTCTCTGATTACGCAGAGAATCACAAACAAAAATTAGAACACCTAGTAATAAGATTAGGTATAAGAACGAATTTCACAATTCGTACAATCCCATTAATAATTTAGAAGAAAAAATGTATACCCAAATTAAACAATTAAATCCTTTAGATCATAAAAAGAAAAGACGTGGACTCACGGAGAAAAATGTATGTTAAAGGTAATTAAAAATATAATAATAGTTATCAAAAAATATAATACCTACGTAGGGGATAGCTATGAAGAATTATAAAATTTATCATATACATATTGTTGCAAGTGTATAGCTAGTTTTACTATATATTGTTTTAACTCATACAGAAAAACTGTATGTAACGGCAACCATCTCATATGCATGCTTTTGTAATACGGGAGTAGTTGAATTAACATCTCCGCTTTGTATTAATAAGTAACTTAGATTATTGCAACTAAACCCTGCCAAAAATCGCGACAATTTTTTTTTCGGGGCTCAAAAAAAGGCAGTGTATAACCTTCCTTTTTTACCAAAAATCGACTGCACCAAAATTTCTCAGGAAAAAACTTTTTCTTATTAATTTGGGTGCGTAGAATTCAAAACGATTCGTACTTTTTCGATTAGATGTCTCAATCAAAAGTTATGGGCCAATTTCGACAAAAAATTCAAAGGGCTGTAACTTTTGATCTAGTAGTCCGATCTTGGAACTGTTTGAAATTATGGATTCTACAGGCCACATTCTATAAGAAAATTTTTTTCCGGGTCGATCTGAGACAATTTTTTTTTCGGGGCTCAAAAAAGGCAGTGTATAACCTTCCTTTTTTACCAAAAATCGACTGCACCAAAATTTCTCGGGAAAACACTTTTTCTTATTAATTTTGGTGCGTAGAATCCACAACAATTCGTACTTTTTCGATCAGAGTTCTCAATCAAAAGTTATACACTAGAAACCAATAACTAGTAGCCCAATCTTGGAATCTTGGAGACCCTAAATATTGATAGATTCCCACTTCCGGTTGGAGATAATTTCACTTCCGGTCATGTTTTACGCCAATTGCAGATCCAGTCGTAACACAAATATGTATACTAACTCCTATCTCGTTATTTCCGACAATGGGCGACATTTTCAACAAAGCTGCATTACTTCCGGTTACTTTAATTGTCACTTCCGGCCAGGTTTAATATCAATTTGTAGATCTCATCATTTCAAACAGTTTTTATAAGAATACTACTCTTGTTATCTCCAACGATAGAGGCGCTATAGTGCGTTTTCTAGGTATAAGTACGTATTACTCCCAGTTTATCACTTCCGGTAGAGTCCCCACGGAAAAATGTTAGGTGGCTCCATATCTGGAATTATATTATTAATATAATAATTAATTATTATTAATATTATTATTAATATTAATTAATTGGAATACAGATAGGGAATGCAATACCGGGATCGCGGGATCTCGAAATACCGGGATCCCGCAGTCTTTTTGCGGGATTAATCCCGTACGTAAATGGAGCGGGATTTGCAGGATTGCAGAATTTATCGACCAAGCTTACCCCCATACATTAGCTCTGCGAATTTGATTATTTCGCACATTTTTGTTGTTGCAGTTCATGCAATAATTACGCGCAAACCCGTATCTGTTATTAACTTTGTTAAACAGCGAGTGAGTGCGCAAATCGGACTTATTTTATTAGTGTTTTAAAACGCATAAACTGTTATTTGATTCTTGTAGACAATATGTCGGACTCGTCGATTGTTTAAAAAGACTTAGTAGTAAAGTGTCTGTATGGAATTTTGCAGAAAAGACGGCAGATGTGATGCATTCTTTCCGCAAAATACAATGTGTTTTCTTGAGAATATTCTGTTAACTGAACAAAATTGCTTATTTCCGAATGTTTTTAAAATTTCGCGGGATCCCGCAAATACCGGGATCCAGCGAGATTACTATCTAATGATCCCGAAAATACCGGGATTGAAATTTTGCTGCGGGATTGCAATCCCTAAATACAGATTATATTGCTTCGGTGCGATGTATTCAACTGAAGAAAAAGTTGATATTGTCAACTGGGTGTAGTGCCGGTAATAGTTGAAGGAGCGTATGAGACTTATTTTCTGTGTTAATGATTTTAAAATTTGTGGTTATTGCAAACCATGCAAACCACATATAAGACGCCGTAAACAACCCTTGCAATTTTAACGGAGGATATGAAACTGAAGGTTTGAATTTTTTTACTTATTCAATGATACTATTTATACTGTCGCTTTTATTAAAATCTAGAATAACAATGCAAAATGCGTGCGCATGTTATTTCGGTTGCATAAAATTAGGCGTCTTTCAGAAGGATTTTAGTCATTCCCTATGTCTACTTCTAAATGAATAAAACTATAGATTTATCAAAGAACGCAGCCTCGTCCCAACACGCACTCACAGACTTACTCGTCAAAGACCCATACAGACGTAACGACAAATCGAGTGGACACACCAACTCACTCAACCATTCGAACGCTGCAAAAACGAGTTAGTAAATGCTTGCTTACTTGCTCTCCCTATAAAGACGACGATTCACTACTAGTTTTGTAACAATTGGAGTTGGTAGTCGAGCAATAAATCATCGGCGCAGCTACACACCCCTTGGATTTCTTCTTCAAGAAACAAAGAATCTAACCATAACACGTTCGCCAGGGAATTGTTAGTCGTTTACGCCGCAGTCAAAGACTTCACGTATTTCTGAGAAAGTCGACTTTCCACTATCCTCACCGATTACAGCCCCTTAACGTTCGCCTTAGTTTATAGAAGACCAACAGTTCGTCAATGTCGACAATAAAATTAAGCTACATAGCGCAGTTCACCACCAATATTTGTCACATATATCGGGAAAAGAAAACCTCGTAGCCTAATACTCTTTCGAGAATTCAATCCAAAACTCCAACCGCCATCGATTAAGAAGAATTCTCTCGCCAGCAACAAAGGAAAAAATAGAGAGATTCTTGAATTAATCGAACAAGTTTTCTCCGCCCGGATTTCCCGACGACGAAATTCAGATAACTCTGCTTTTGCACCCGCATCTCTTGTCTCGGCGCAACACTCCGCCTGCCGGGAGAATGTTATTATTTGCCAGCAGCCCGCATCCTTCGGATACAACTGAGTTTGCTAAGACACTCAGATCCTCCGAAGATTTCTGGCTGTCGCCGGCAAAAAAACAAAGAACGCCAAGAAATTTCGCCCATCCGGAGGCGGCATACATGCTAACGTTTTTGTGTAAAAAGAAGGCCGAAAGTGACTGCAACCCTTATACACAGGACGGTTGACGGTAATTATAAGGCACGACAAACCCTTTGTCATATACCTAAACGGCCACAATAATAGTATCTTGTCGATCGGCTGAAGCCAGCATTCACCGCAAATTGTGAAATCCAGCGGTCCGCTTCGCTCCAGCTACCAGTGCTTGCCGAGGAAATCAAAGAACCAGGTCCGTACCGCGTACAACACGTACATTTTCACAAAAAGATTGCCAACTTCCATGCCGCTGCGCTAGAGAGGGAGCAATGTGGCGGCGCGCACATGGTCAAAACGGCCAACCGATGAGTGCTTAAAGCCGTCTCTGCTAAGGTAATTCCTGCTTCGACGGCGCTCCAAGAAACTCTCCGCTTGCAAAACCAGTTCACTTTTCCAGCTCGACCTCGCGGCATGCTCCACCAGCCAAGAAGACTCACATCTGCCCTCACTCAGACGACAGCGCTTGCCGCGTGCATTTCGGCTACCATTTTGTAAATATATTTCATAAAACGTACGCAACAGCATTTTATTTAATGTCGCCCACTAAAACATCATGGATAGTTCACTTGAAAATACCGCGTACTTACATCAGAAACGAAACCCAACACCTCCAAAATAAAAGATAGATTGAATTGTTACAAAATCAGAATGCCGTTATAGGTGATTAGGATGCACTTTTAAGTTTTCCTGGGAAACATTGGACTAATGAACGGGTGGATGCCGAGCAGGAAAAGAGAATGGCACAATCATATAAACAGAATGACAGATGATAGAGTAGTCAAGATAGCAAGAAATAAATCTCAATTAGGGCGGTGAACCGTGGGCCGGCCCTAATATAACATATGAAAGCACAAACCAAAGGAGAAAGGGGCAGAATTGCCTAATAAGAAAAAATGTTTGTAAATAGAGTAAGATTGTTCAGAGGTTTCAATAGGATTATTGCCATTATATCCCCAATGTAAGCAACAAACTAAGCATCAAGTAATTTTGTCAATTTTGAAAATGATGTTGAAATCCCTCTACTATTTTTGCAACATTTTTTTAAGTAAATACCTTTGTAGTAATAAATCTAGAAATTCAATAGGATTCAATGGTTTCCAATAATATAACTCCATCCTAACATAACATTGTAGTCAAAATTTGTCAATGTGCTTTTGTTTTGTCTACAATTAAGAGAATGACGAGAGTTCCCGCTTTAGGATCTTCTTGCAGATTGTATTCAGTATGACTAATGGAAACAGTTCTGTGTTCTACTTTAAAAAAACTCCGGGTTTTTATAAACTAAATTACATTTTGTTGCAAATACAGAAATATTAAATAACAACCAACGATGATTGATTGATTGATGAAAGACATGTCCCAATTCATAAAAATTTCACAATGAAATAACCACTAGGAAAATATCGTATACTGTATTGGAAGCTGAATTGGTTTGGTTACAAAAACGCTCTTGATCAGAAAACTATGAAGAATATCGAAAGCAAAACCAAAAGGACTTCAACAAAAGTAAATATATTCATAAGAAAGTTCAAAGAGTATAATTTATTAGAAAGCAATAGTGGTGTTAACGTCATAACTTAATATTTATTGAATAAATAGAATACATTCAAAAGCTGTACTCAATAAAAACGGGATTTCAAAAAAATCATCAATAAGCTTGCAGAACGTAGCTACCCTTAACTGCAGTACTAATTACATTAATGAGAACAATTAGAATACTTCATATCGTATCTATACAGCTTCATGCAACATAGGATACATTAAAAATAAAAATGTGTTAACGTTAGTTAAAAAATATTTAAAAAAATTATAAATAACGAAATTATAATCATCTGTTACATCGAGATATAATAAACTCTTTATATCATCAGTATGATAATAATCCATAATTTCGTACATATACATATATCTAGCTTACATTCTTAATTTAAACGTTGCGATGCTGGCAGTCTTTTCTTCCCTCTTCTTTGCGTCGACAACCAATGTTCATAGTGCCTTTCGTTTGCTAACCAATCTTGGTATTTGTACCACCATTCCTCCCATTTCACGTAGTCATCCAACGATAGATCTCTTAAGTACCCTAAATCTTTGTAGTACTGATAACGAACACGAACATCGTCCCACGATGCCAAACCTGACGGACCAGCAGATAAAAGTTCATCGGGATAATGTCCTGGTGGAACGGGCGAGTGACTAGAAAAGGACATTTAGAAAATGTGTAATTAACATCTATAAACAAAGAATTACAAAAAACAATTAATGCTTTGGAAAAATTTGCGATCTTTTCAGTATTGTTGTCAAATCTGTGCAATGTTTCTCTCTAATAAAGTTTTTGATTATTCTACAGTGTCAACTAAATTTGCGACGCCCCCTTGTGGACCAAATTTTGTTTGCGCAGGAACCTTCTCAGGTTGGAACAATTGATTAGTATTTGTATTTGACAGAAACTGGTTTCCATACAGAGCCGCCTAACCTAGCCCACTCTGTATAGGGTACTCTCAAAAATTCAAGCCCATTCAGAGTTTACATTCTGAAATGAACGTATACCAGTCTTACCAATTTTCTAAACCAAGCGCTGAGAGTATGAAATATGAAAAAAATGAAAATATTACGTGGCACAATTAAAAAAAATAATGTTCTCTTATAACTAATTACCTGTAACGACGAGGAGGACTACCATATAGAAAATCGTCTTCCTCAATCATGACTTTCAAGTCGCCTCCACTAGAATTCTTCGTTATACGCATATTTTCGATGTCTCTGCGTTCTCTATCGATACTCCATTGCGCCATCTTACCAAAACGCTCTGAAAGAGACAAACGAGTAGTTGCCACAATGGGCGATAAGGAGGATGTGGAACTATCTTCTGATCCAGATGAATCCGGAGATCCGGGACGTTTCTTTGTGCGTTCCTTTTTGATCCGTGTCAGTAATACCTGTATAACAAATTCAGTTAAAGTTTTCATCAAGACAAACGTACGGGTTCTGTAAATTTTTCCTTTTTACGGATGGTCTTCTTCACTGCTGCGGGCGGTGCGATACTGCCTAGATTGATAACCTTGCCAGATGGATTACGTGGCCTGGGGGGTGGCGGTTGACGGCGTGGATCCGTGGGCTTATCGGAAATCAGTCCTTTCACTGGTCGTCTGACTGGAGGTGGTGTCATTGGTCTCGGAACGCGACGCGGAATCGGTGACGGCGACGGAGGACGAGGACGCGCACGAATTTTGGGGGAACCGTGTTTCACGTGCGGTTTTCGCGATCGCGATACCGATAACGAACGAGACCTAAAAGAGAACTGATTGTAGGCTCACATTTATTGGTAAACACATGTAAATAATCGCTCATTACAGTGCTGTGATATGAACTTTTATCCATAACACGCATAAAAAATGTACCATAGTCAAATTATGAAAAAAATTTGACAAGCATCTAAAACAATTCACTTTCTGGTACAGTTACACAGGAAAATAAATGCAAATAAAAATCGATCACTACAAATAAACAAAAACAAGTTTAACAGACTAACTGCTCACAGGATGATCCACAAGGACCTTTGGTTAGCCGTATTTAGGGAACCACTTAAGCTATTTATTTAAAGCGGAATCTTTGTTACGTTTACATTTGAAAATAAACGAAAATAATACATTATTTTTCGTCATAGCATAGGTAGTTTCCTCAAGAAACCCAAATATTATGAAAAAAAAACTAGATGTGTTTAACCCGCATTTTAAAAAATAAGGAAGGGGGCTGATCTCGTTATAACAAATGGTAGAGGAGCCACTAGTAATCAGTAAATTAAGAAAGGGACGCAGTGGCGGATTTAGGGGGAGTACTAGGGGCAGTTAAGTGGGTTAATTGGAGGAACACCTGGTGGCGATGTTGCCCCTAGGTGAACTTCGCCCTTTGGCGCCCAGTGGCGTAGTAAAAAAAATTTTTTTACTCACCGTTTCCGAGATTGAAATCAAAGTTGGTATATATTTTTTAAATGCAACACACTGTCTATCTTAAAAGTAAATTTATTTGCATAATTTTTCCTGATATTTTTTTTTATATTTTAGCCATGAACCAAAAAGAAAAACCTTATTTTTTATGGTTGATAAACAGTAGGCCATGGATTTATGGAGATTTTGTTTTGTTAATTGTATCCATGGCAGCCTATACCAATCAATAAAAATGGCTGACGGTAGAAACATGGAATTTAAAAATTTAAAAAAATATGCTATAACATATATGTATATAAAAAAATATAGGTTGTGATACATCAATGTAATTAGCCAAACGAATGCAAAAAATTGACGTTATGATATATAGGATGTTGCATTTAAAAACTACCAACATTGAGCCAAATCTCAGATATGCCGGTCCAAAAAATTGTTTCAACTACGCCACTATATTCTACATAAAAATATCTACAATAAACCGTTTTTACCTTTTTTCTATCTTACATGATCTATCTTTAAAAACAGCTGGGATACACTGCAGTCTCAACCAAAATAGGACACAAGGCACATAATTTTAGATTAGGCGTGCGCTCTGTGATCATCCAAGTATTACTAATTTACTTGTTTCCTATGCTTGATTCACTTGGAATTTTAAAATAAGTTTTATCCGAAATATTGGTTATCCAAAACGGCCCTAGCCCCATTTGTTGCGGTTAACGGAGTTTGTACTGTATACAACTTTTTCTCATCCTCAATAAAAGATGAGAAGCTTTCACAAACTGTCTCAAAAAGAAAACCAACTCCGTCAAGTTGAAACCAGTAGTTTTCCCCACATAACGTCTCAAATGTACAAAGACATCTATTATCATTGTTAAAAATAATTTGTAAGTAACAGTCACAATTTTAGAAAATCTAAAATAAAACTGAAAGCATAACAGATAGGTACATAGAATATAATAATTGATTGAGGTAGAATTTTTTACACACTTGAAAATGCAAAAAAATAATGCATGTTGTACTTGAAAAAATCAACTTTTTAAGATTTATCGTTATTAAAATTGACCATTAGTTTTAAAATATCCTGAAAAAGAAAGATCAAAATTTAAATCAATCTCATGTAGCATCAAGTCAGTATTGTTGATTTTTGTAAGACTCTTTAAATTCAATGCAACGGGTATGAGGTTCAAAAGAAAAGCAGTCAAAGGTCAAAAATTATAACTTTAAATCCTTTTATGCTGGGTATCAAACGACATAGATTTTCATATAGGTTTCAAAAATGTCATAAAATGCAGGGAGTGAAACGATCATGATAATATTTTCGTTCAATAGATCATGAAAAACAAAGTTGGTACGAAAATTTTCAGATTTAAACTATCAATCGGAGCCTGAATACTTTTAGGTAGCGGTTTGCGTGAAACAGCCTGTATAGTACCATTATTATTTGATTCTCTTAAAATGTCCGGAGACTGTATTGATCAAGTATTGTGTTGGAAAAACATGTGAACGGGACAGGGAGGGGGGGGGGAATCAGATCGTATTCTGCCCCTAGGCGGCTTGTGTAAATCCGCCACTGAGTGTATGGGCTCTCTACCAATAGTATAAGCACAAATTTGCATGCACTATATGGTTAATGCAAGAAACAGAACGAGAAATAGAAAGTATTGGCTCAGTCTAATACACTTTCATTTACAAAATTATGTATTCAACAGTTCATTATTATGAATAATACAATAGTTTCAATGAATAATGTATTTCCATGTTAATGTCCGTAAGTAATACATTATTCTCAAACAGTTGATGGTGATTTTCCAATTACAATTTTTTTACATTGCCAAACAAAACAAATTTCCTAAAATGGCTTATACCTACCTATAGAAAAGCTTATACGATTTTACCGAAATCAGGAAGGAAAATCAGAAACTTTTTTATCAAGCGAGTTAAACTATAAGTTGATAGCGAGTACTTTCTAAGGTCCTCCTGTATCATCCTGTATAAGAGATAAATATACTACACGCAGCGCTATCTAACGTTCATGATTTTATTAATTCAGAAACGAAACTACTTTAGACATACTATGCGATCAAAAGAGTTGCTGTCAAGTCACCTTTGGAATTTTTGTTTATGTCAATTCTTTTCTGATCGCCCGTTATATGGGTACAATATCCCACTTTGATCACAATTGATGGAATATAAAGCACCATCTATCACCAATGAGTATTACTAATTAAGAAACCAACCCAAATATGCCTCATCCCACCGTTACGTAAGAAGCAATAACACTTAGGCGCTTTCCAATATTTTTTGTGAAAAAACATCTTCAAGAAAAAAGTAAAAAAATTGTCGCTTGACTTAACGCCCCACCAGCGAATTTAATGGCGCATAATAAAGTGCTTATTTATGGCTCCTCTCATTTGACAGAATTTTTATATGAAATTGGAGGTGCTAGCTTAAGATTAAGCCAAAAAGTATTTAAGAAAGTTCAAAAGTTTTTGCTTTTTAAGAGAACTTTCCGCGGACAAACTGTTTTTGTGATAAAGTTTTTACTTTACTGTGAGTACGCTTGTCTGACAATCTGGAGATATGAGGCATGAGACATATGCGATCAAGGTAAGCGGTCGAAGAGTACTATGGTTGGAAGAGATTAATTCCTTTCATTGAGACCTTTTATTAGAGGTGCACCGAAAAGTTATAGTTTGTACAAACCAATTTAATTCAATGAGACCTTTCATTAGAATACCATGAAGGGTAGAACATGGGTTTACCCCCCCCCCCAGTTTCATTTCAATGCTTTTCTAAATAAGAAAGTTTGAACTGCCCATGCGCAAACCTACATTTTGAAGCTAACGTTAGATTTTCCTTTGCTCCAAGTGGCTATGTATCAAATTTCATTTAAATGCTTGGCACTGCGCATGCGCAAAACCAAATTTTGAAACTGGCGTTACATTTGCTTTTATTCCAAGTGGCGAACGGACATTTCTAAACAAAGTTATCGTTCACACGGACAGATAGAGGGACAGACAGACAAAGGAACAGACGGACAGACCAACAGGCAGACGACAGATAGCAATGCAAAATTATAAACGATCTCTAGGATCGTTAATAAACGGCAAAAGTGTAAAATTATGGAACATGTAAAAAACGGTTTTTTGTTTTTTTTACAATAACTTTTTTTGTAAGCAGTACAAATTCCTTCCTTGGTGCAAGACTCGACACCATAACGAATCAAATAGCGAAAAAAGTAGAACAATAGTAGTAGCGTCTCAAAACGAGCGGACGGACGGACAAAGTGGCCACAATAGCGCATTTTTTTATTTTTGTGGAAATGCGCTAAAAATAACAAAAGAAGAAAGCTCCCATTTAAAAAAAAAATAACAAACAAGATAGGGAATTTTTTTCTTTCGAAAAATTCCCCTAAAAACGACATATCTTGGCCGGCGCAATAAAATTATAATTTACAATTTGACTGTAGAGACCACTACTAATAGAATGCACGTAGAAATTGGATAACGTGAATGCAAATTGAGATGAAAATTAATCAGACAGTAGGTAATAGCAATTTAAAAAAGTACAATTTTGACCCCTTTATTCACTTCACTACTTTTTTGTAATATAATCTTTTTTATATAAAAAGCATATACGTAGTAAACGTTTTAGACAAGAGATTTTGGGGAGAGTAATAATTTCCACATTGCAGCAATAAATAAGCATTTTATTGGTAGGGGTGCCAACTTAACATAAAAAAAATTGTAGTATACACCCTACAGAACATCTACGCAACACAAGTGGCATATTTATTTAAATCAAAATGTGAACAAAATATTACTTTTATTTTTTAATTTTTTTTATTTATTTTATTTATTTACAAAATAAAGACTTACCTAGACCTGGCACGTCGATTATTTTTTGGCGAACAAACCGAACACGAGTCATCCGAGCAGCTACTCACAGAACTGCCAGAAGGTGACCTTCGTCCTTTATGAATCGGCGGCGATCGCGGGGAACGCGGTCGCACAGATTTACCAGATCGCGCCGGAGGTAGTGGCGACCTACGAGTGACAGGTGGCGACCGCCGTGATGGTGGTGATCTAGGCGATCGCCGTCCCACGGGGGACCGCCGTAACGGCGGGGAACGCGGCGATCTACGTCCGATAGGAGATCGACGAGAGGGCGGAGATCGCGGAGATCTGCGGCCAACAGGCGATCGCGAACGACTACGACGACTCGGAGATGGCGACGATGAGCCATCCAAGTAAAGCGACTTGTAACCGCTGTGCCGCCAACTAAAATGATGTGATCATTTTCACTTAAACCGTACAAAACAGAAATGTTCATTTTTTGTTTATGGAAATCGATCTTTTTAATAACATAGAAAGTTGAGTTTACCGATTTGGATCTTTCGCTTCAACTTCTAGGATTTTTTTATCCCAATATTCGTTGGCGTGTGCAGAAGCACGTGCTTTTTTCATAACTGTATCAATTTCGCGTCTTCTTCCTGCCGGTAAACTGGGATCTGCAAATAAAAGTATTTGATTGTACTTCAATGGGTCGTCGAAAGGTGTATAATACCAGTTATTCGAGGGATAGGAGCCTTACTATCCATTCTCAATTTCGAAGATTTGGAATCCTCTCTTCTCTCTCTACTCTTGCTACGTTTTCGCGTCGACATTCTACAGTCACGGATCAATACAACACATACAATACGAAGGTACCCTCTTACCTTACTCAAAAAGCAGTTTGTTAATTGCTTCTTAAATCAAAAACATACACGAGACAGTGTATGTTAACACTAAAAGCATATTGCAAAATTATTGAATAATCTAAATACAATTGACAAGTACGCAAATAACACATAAATGATAGATCGTTAACAGCCCCCATTGTACTACCAAAGACTCAAAGCCAAAATCCTGTTTTCACAAAAGTGTCTTTGATTTCAAGTACCATTTTTCCACCGACAGTAGCATAGGAAAATGAAACGATTCATAACCCGAGAATATTCTGAAATAAACTCATTCCACATCTTGCACTTAATGTTCAAAACACTGCACAATAAAGAAATAAATTCGAAATCGAGCTGCATGCTTTCAAAGACAACTAACGAAGACAAAGATCAACGCGTTTTTCAAATTACCCGCGCGACGATATATTTGTAAAATGAAGAAAAGGCGTTGACCTCATTAAATCAATACGATACTTATCGGCAGTTAAAGTTAAACATCGGACTTACGTGAGGAAACGAAAATTATGAACACATTTATTTGACGTACTGTAGTGAGAATTTCCGAAGGAAAATGTTTTAAATTCTTTGTATTTCTGCGATTTCTTCGTTAAAACAACAAAGCGAAATGTTAACGGGAATTCAGAGACCCATGTCTCTGCGGGAATTTCGCAAACTACAGTTAGTACCAACTTGAACATTGATTCAACATGCCCCTACCAACTTAAGGCAAAAAAACAAAATGGTACCGGATACGTGACGTCATTTAACAATTTTGGCAATAACGATTTTTCGAGCGTGTGAGTGGAAAGTACTGTCAGCTTGTGTGAAAAAACTTGCCAGTCTATTCCCCCCTTAAGACCGTACAGGTACAGGTACAGGTACTTCCACTTGTATTTAAATTATTTTCATAATACAAACAAAAAATACGTAATTCGAAAGCAAATGTGTACTACGTAAACTTAACCTTACTTTAATTTAAATTTGCTCGTTCTTTCGTAAAACGTGATCCTACTAATCACGATCTAGAAATCATGATTGCGAAGTAGCCGAAAGAAAGCGCCTAAAGTTATGGCGTAAACGTAGTTCCACGTTTTGAATTTCATATTTATTAAATACCCTGTATACATAAATCTGGCCTTGGGACCCTAGATGCAAACGGAATTAAATAGTAAATTCCCTAACCTCATACATATGACACATAACCTAAATTAAATGTACTGAAATTCCGATAAATCTGTAAAATGTAATAAGCACCATGACGGAGTTTATTAAAAGTGAAATCCGTCCGGTTTTCAAAGCGACAACTTTCCAGCACACCTCAAAGTCTAACAATAAAAAACGGGCTTGGAAATCTTTAAAACAAATAATTTCAACGGAACGATCTTTGCAATGGCCCGAAAACTACGTTCATTATAGCTCAATTAATGCGCCACCGTCATTTAAGCCTGCGGAGAAATTTTCTGACCTATCTGGATTGCCGGCGCCATACACTGATCCTCAAACGAGGCTTAGATTTGCCAATAAAGAAGAGTATGGTACGCTAATAGGTTTACCAATGGATATAACTGCAGGATACTTAGCTTTACGTGGTGCCAGTAGCATTGTAGGTTAACATGTATTTATTTGTAAGTAAACGTAACAAAATTAATCAATCATTATTTTCCAATTTGGAGAATTAAATTGTGCGACAATGTATATATTACGATGATCAACAGTCCAATCGTACGTTACACGATTTTCGTTACAATCGATATTTATCCGTAACTTATTATCATCTCTATAAACACAACTGAAGCAAATCTAAAAATAAACGGTCGTAAAGAATCTCATCCTTTTAAATTTACCTTGCTGCCTTTTATTACAGGTGGAAATCTTGTAATTTTCTTCACACCAGAACCAAAAATACTTCCATTTGCCTCTACACAAACAGAAGATGAATTAGTGATTGAACCTTTTAATGTACTTTCACTAGTCAGGCCCACGTAATTATCATTCAGATTTACATCACATTCTAAAAACTACACAAACTTACCGCTAATCTGATAAACAATTCCTTACCGTAAATTCAATCGAGTACCCCACATTAAATTCAATTCTTCGACTACATACGAATGAAGTTGTGTTAAGCAAAGATAAGGCAATCTTATTATCGTTAGTCAATGTGAAATTATCAGTTTCTACCCACGAAAACGATTTAATGGTAGTTTGGCAGACTTGTGGCAGAGACCAGGGACTCCACTGAGTGTCACCCTCATATTTACAACGCACCCTAAATGAATAATTCTGGTTCAAGTTTAAGTCTTTCACCAAGTACTGTAGATTAGGACCTACGGTGGTTAATGTTAGAGGAAATTAAAAGTTCGTTTAATTACCTATGTAACATGTATGAAAATTGCTTTCTAGATTATTTACAGTCCCAAATGCCCATTGCAAATGATAATCTTGAACATCGACGAAGTGATCTTCATTTTCCGAGATAGCCCATTCAACTAAAATTGCTCCGGGACGTTCCAACAAGGATGTTATCTGTAAAACCATCAAACTTGGCAGTCATCGACTGTATTGCTTACCTGAACTGGTGAAATGTGTATGACATCACCAAACTGACGACAAATGTTAGTTAAATTGCTTTCCTCATTGGTATCATAATGAAACGATATATAGGGAACTTCTTTTAAAGGGGGGACCTCGGGTAAACTACCTAAAAGAGTGGACTTTCTATTAAACTCCACCAAACCTTTTTTATTCGCCGATTTTAATAGATCATTGCCTTCATTAATGAAAGATTTCGTATTTGCTATTTTGTTGTTAATAATTGTTTGACATTGTCGTAGCGGGAGAACACCTTTTCTTTGTACTTCTTGCGCGTTGTTGATCAATTCATCTCGACGGTTTATTAAACTATTAGTTATTTCAGTTACTAAATGGGAAAATACAGTAGTAATTTCGGATTCGGTTTCTTTGGCTGTCGTATTTATTTGCTGCTCCGCGTTCCCTATTTCGACCTGTAAGTTAGTTAAAAGTTGTAGGTATTCATTGGCAGCTTTCAAATTTGCTTTAATGTTGTTCTCATCCATATTTTCAGTGAGTCACCATTATTTTTAAAAATTTATTTGTTTCTAACCTATTTTTAAATTGTAAACAGTTTGAACTACTACAGCTATTTGGTCTACTAGTTTGAAGTTTGAACTATTACATACTTAACCTCAACAATAAAGCAAGTGCTCCCTACAATGAGCTTTGATGGTATTAAAAGTAAAATTAACGAAGGGGATACCGTTATTCTGTATCTTACTATTCATCAAATTTATAGCGTAAAAGCGGAGGCCAAAACTGTCAGCAAGAAGGGTGTTCTTATTGAAAATATTTTTCAAACACAGTATGGTGCCTTAAAATGTGCAGACTTAATAGGGGTAGAGTATGGTGCGAAAATAAAATTAAGTAAAGGATGGGGATACGTGCTGCAGCCAACGCCGGAGTTATGGACGTTAACTTTACCTCATCGTACTCAAATTATTTACACACCAGATATTAGTATGATAATCTTGCAGTTGGAGTTGGCCCCTGGCAGTATTGTTATTGAAAGTGGTACCGGGAGTGGATCGTTATCGCATGCTCTCGTACGATCTGTGAAGCCACATGGTCATGTATTTACCTTTGATTTTCACGAACTGCGTGTGCAAACTGCAGAAGAAGAATTTAAAGAGCACGGTTTAAGTCAGTGGGTCACTGTGCAAAAAAGAGATGTGTGCAGTGAGGGTTTCGGATCTGAACTTCTGCACAAAGCGGATGCCGTCTTTTTAGATCTTCCTCATCCTTGGTTGGCAGTACCACATTCAAAATTAGCGATAAAACAAACAGGAGGCAGAATCTGCTCGTTCTCTCCTTGTATCGAGCAGGTACAGAAAACATGTATATCACTATCAACATTAGGATTTCACGAAATACAAACTATGGAAGTGGTGCAAACGCAATATTCAATTCAAACCAGATCGATTCCCATTTTAAATTTAGACTTTGTTAGAGTGAAAAAAAGTGAAGATTCGCAAGAGAAGAATGAAAAAGAGGTGGTTAGAACTGTTACAGCTGTACCGCCTCTTACTCAACCTGGGCATACTGGATTCTTAACTTTTGCCACACTACCTCCTATTTGGGCCAGAACCGAAGACGATAGCACGCTAATACAAACGTAGCATAAGTAAAAAATCTGTTAAATTAAATGTTTATTCACCATGGATTAGATAAATGTAGTATAGGTATAGAATTCTAAGGTCCAACTGTATCTTTTGTTTGAAATGAATTTTAAAATAAATCTGAATTTGAATGCATTAAACTGTAGGTTATGCAATTTTATATAAAGGGCCCTAAATAAATAAGAATGAGGGCTCCATTAACTTATGCTATCCCACATTCTTTCTTCTATAAAAGTTTTGTGCTGTCACCATTTATAAAATTAACAGTCCGTTTTTCCAATTGCTTTTTCTAGGAAAGTTTTGTGACATAGATAAAAAAAACTATTTTCGAATTCGGGAAATATTTTACCTGAAAGACAACTAATAATTTTTTATACTGGCACAATGTGAAGTTGGTCGGGCTTTCAACTGCTGTAATGAAAAATAGGCATTATATTAAAAAAATTAGTTTTCGTTGTTTTTGTAATTAGCCCATTTTCTAACAACACGAGGTGGAATTTAATTATGGAAAAATATGCGTGAAAGTTTTCCATTCAAACAGTATGAACTCTCATTATTTCTGATTAAACATTTTTATTCGCAAAAACCACTAATTTTATATTTCTAATTAAGAATGAAAAAAATTTAAAAAAAGAGACATGCCATTTAAAATCAATTTCTGATCTAACCGGAAGTGCCACCCTATCAAAATTATCTCTTAAACCATAATTGAGATAAACCACATAACAAACACCAAGTCAAGAAAAAAATGGAAAAGCACATACTGTGAGATAGTGTTACTTGGCATCTTCACTTTTTTTCCTCGTGAATAGTAACAAAATAATTTTTTGATGGCACAATCGACATATAACTACCACAAAACTTTTGTAAAAAAAGAAAGGGTGGCCAAGTCAATGGAGTCAAAAATGAGTACTAACAATTGATGAGTCTATAACCTCTACTTATGTTGATTCTTAATTCGTAATATCACAACAATTTACTTCACTTAACAAGAATAACGCAGTAACAATGTCAATTTCACAATAAACTATGCCAGATGTTACATACACTAAAATGAATCTTTAAGTGTTACGTTACTGCTCACAATGAGAATAAGTGAAACACAGAAAAGTTAACTCCGTTGCGGGCAACTAGTTTGAATAATTTTTGGCTTCGCGTCAGATTCGGCGACAGCACCGAGAGCGGTGTGGACAACGATACCCGGTTGTCCGGGGCTCGGCGGATGTACTTCATGAGATGAACCGGGGGTTAAGGTTGCCAGTGCGGCTAAAAGATCATGATTAATTATGGGCTCACCTTCGGGACGAGGTTCCCAGTCGAGTGGCGGAGATGAGGGCGGCGAAATGAGGAACTGTTTAAAGGGTGCGGGCGGTTGCAAGCTGCTGTTCTTGACTGGCGTAACCGGTTGAGCAAAGTAACAAGTAATTACAGATTCTTTGATTGGGTATTGATGCAATTGTATGCGAGCGCTCGCTGCTGCCAATGGGGTTTGAAAGTTTACACGTAAACGCTTAAAACTGCGCAACCATTGAAATGTAACTTCAGAATCGTACATACGAAATAATTCCTCTAGTTCTGTTTTGCGATCTACAACTCAAAATTTAATTATCTGATTATATTAAACGTAATAATTACCGGGGTTTATGAAGACATCATCGTGAATGTTAGTGACGATTAATGACGTTGGTAGATCCTCAAATTCGTCGTCGGTGGTACGATCTGGACTATCAACTGTGGCCTCTGCAAGCAAATTTGGATGTACATTCGGGAGACCATCTTGATCGTTAATGATAATGTCGTCTTGATTGAGTTCGCAATTATTTTCTGCCATATCGCCGTGTTTTATGTAGAACAGTTCAGTCTCTCAAAAACAGTAAACAGAAGACTTTAGGTACTCATGTTTACAGAACCCCACATTTTGGCTGCTTAACGTACTGTTAATTAGAACCGTAAAACTATAATTACTTATTTAGGAAACATTTAAGCCGAAATTTCTTCGAATTTTTTTTTTTAACGTAAAATCAGGAAGCGCAAACTAAGGTCGGTGAATGTGATTTGGGTTGCACTAGCGATCGACATTTGACATTTGACCTTTAAATTTTTCAATATTTTTAAATCACTGGCAGATTATGTAGTTGGCAACCCTACTTATAAATACAGGATGCGGCATACACTATTGCAATTCTCAGAGAACTGTTTCTTATCTGCATTGATTATACACACATCGGTCTTGTACCGAAGCGAAGACTTAAAGTCTATTGTAGGTAGTTTTAGTATCACTCCCTTAGGATGTCAATCTGTTTGAAGAAATCTAGATTCCTCCAGGGAAACAGTATCTTTGTAGCATTCCCGAAGGCTTCTTTATTCCCCTAAAGAACCCGTGCTAGGCGTTCACTTTTTATATCACAGTGGCCTACTATACCTATATATGCAAATGAGTTTTTATTCGTCTTGGAAAAATGAGTCTTCTTCAAAGCTGATCCCATATTGTAGAGGTGTCTTTTCGCGCAGTTGATAATGATTCATTAGGACACTTGCCAAAAGATACAAGAGCCATAATTGACCGAGATGTTCTATGTAATATATACTAAGACAACATTAATTGAGATCGACATTTTATTATATTCCAAAAGCTTTATAAGTATAACAGATACGAAATTTAAAAAAAAAGAATATTTTGTTAAATATGAATTTACTATCAAAATTGACTTGAAGTTGCACTGAAATAAATTGGCATAACATAAATATGTACATTATATAAAAATAAATAAATGAGAAGATAATCTGGACGGCAAATTATAACGGTTCGTGACTAGCAATGCTATCCATTTCCGGATCACTTTCAGCATCAGAGCTTGAACTAACAGCAATATCACCGGCCATTGCCACTCTTGCGTACTCATCGGTATCGATCGATTTGCAAAAATGGATGGCATATTTCAATTTTTCTTGCAGTACAATCTAAAAAACGATATTTACTACACTAAAACTTCCCTCTTTTACTAACTTTGCAAGAATATCTAGGCATCTTTAACAGAAAAAAGCAAGTGTAGCTTTCGGGTAGGAAATGATCGGGCGGGCTATACTTATCCAATACTTGAATAACAAAATCGCGGCCCCTAAAATCGGCAATAGTGCGCGGTAAACGAGTACGTCCCCAGACGAATCTTAGAAATAAAGATCTTTCTTGGTTAGAAAATTCTTCCATAACTTCCCAAAACCATTGCACTAAGGGGGCGCTACTATCTACGCCTAAAATTGGTAGTTTAGCAACGATTTTAAAATATTGCCCGAGCATTACCTTTATATGTGGCAACTGACTTTAATAAAGCAAGTGGTATGTCGGGTGAACCACACACCATCGTTTCTAATTCATAGGCATTAAACAATGACAATAGTGGAACAGGAATGACACGAGATAAACCGTCACGTACCGCTTTTACCTGTTCGTCAAATTCGTGCAATCTGAAACGTTAAGTAGTTAGAAAACCTATTAAATTTAACATTAAATGTACCTGAAATTCAAAGCGAGACGGACATATTCCAATCGATTTTCGTGAGTGATCCTCTTGTACTTAGAACTAAGAGGAACGTCTGTACCGCACGAAGAGGGTGTAGAGAATGGCATTTCCAAATTTTGAAAAAGACGTTCGTCCGATGTCATGTCACGAATGCATAACAATCCCGGCACATAATCTCTATCCATTTCGGTTAAATCGCCGGGGGTCAATTCCATTCCTGCTAAAAGTTTCCACATCGGTTCTGCCAAGTTGATGCTTAATGGTGATCCGGTCCGAATGGCAATACCCATTAACACTCCTGCAGAGAAATGTTAGTAAAATGTTGATATTGAGCTATTAATTACCTAGAAATCGAAACATGTTCAGGTGCAGACATGTTTTAGCAGTGGGATTTAGTAAAAAGCAGTCACGATTAGTGCCCGCCTCGTCTCGACCGTTTGGTGTGGGAATTAATAACGGAAGTGAACCATTTTGTAGTTCGTCACACATTTCGGCAATACTTTCACTGTAACCCCCGCCACAGTCATCCACACTTTCACCTACAAACAGCATTTAAAATAATGCAATAATAGTGCAAGGATTTGTACCGATAAATTTAACTTTCCACACACGATGAGGTAAGGCCAGTGCTTCCGAGGTAAGCAATGGTAATTTTGAAACCATCTGTCCAAATACAGACTTCATCCCATCGATGCCGGCCAAACCGCCTCCTTTTCGAGCCCGTTTGACTTGTATTCTGTTTAATTCAATAACGGGTCCATGCTGTTTATCACGAACCATTGTTGATTGGATGACCTTTCGGAATGTGGCTTCTTTGATGGAATAGACAAGTATGTTGCGTAATTCTGAAAGAGATCCGGCGCCCGTAATTGGAAACATGGCAATGCACGGACATATTAATTCGGCAAAGTGATGAAGCAAAATCAATCGTCGATGTAGTACAAGCATGGATACGTCGCGCAGTAAGTCATACTCAAGTGGCGCTTGCGCGGGCAGATGAGAGCACGAGTTCGCGTTGTTTATCGACCAAGCTAAAGTGTGTGCGGAACCACAGGCAACATTGGTTATTTTCTTTCCTTGCAAGACCGTAACCAAACGAGGACGCTGAATTGCATTTGTAGTGCCATCTCCCAGTTGTCCTTCATCATTGTCACCCCAAGTGAATACTTCTCCTTCATCCGAGCAAGCCACACAATGCAAAGACCCTGTTGCGATACTAATTATTCGCTTGCCTTGCAAGGCAGCCACCTTCTTAGGTCTTCTCACGTGATCATCGGTTCCATGTCCGAGTCTATGATAATCACCCTTTCCCCTTCAAAGAGAGTCCAATAAAATTGGGTTCAGCGAAACCACGCATACGTACCAAGTGTAAATACTACCGGAACGAGTTAAAGCAACTGAAAATTGCGAACCACACTCGACCTTGATAACTCCTAAGCCCGCTAGACTTTCAATTTTCATGGGAACTTTGCAACCGTCTGAACCACCACGACCTAATTTACCGTAGTCACCGTCTCCCCAAGACCACACATTATCGTCGTCTGTGATACACAACGTTTGCGCATCTCCAGAACCGCACGCAACGTCTGTAACTCGATATCCCAGCAATGCTTCAATCTAAAATGTTTAATTTCACACTTATAGGTATTTTGCACTTTTGTAAAGGCGCGAATAGATTGGCAAGTTTTCGCACGCAAGTTGCTGTCTGACAGCACTGATAAAAACCGTAAGCCGTAAGTCAACTTGTGACAATTATCGTGACTTTTGCAAAAAAATTTTGAAACAGGCACTTTTAAGGCTACCTCAAACCAACGCGAATTATTCGCAGTGGCAGCGAATTTTTCGCGGCCAAAAATTCGCTCCATTGTAATTATATTGCGGCTTATGGAAACGCTCAGACATACGCGTCAGTTTGCCGTTGCAACTGCGATTGTGCAACGATTTTTTCGTCGAGATTTTTGTTTCGTTCATATCGCGCGATTTCTGTTTCGCAAGCAAAACAAAATGTCAAAAACGGAAGCTTTAATAGAAATTGTTAAAAAATGAAAAACAACTGAATGCTGCCTTATTAAGGAAAATAAAATGTTAAACAACTTTTAATTATTTTAACTCGGAAACAGTTGCATTTAGGTACATTGGGTACGAAGAATTGAAATATCGAATAATATACATGGTGTTCCATTAAAAAAATGCAATATTGGTGTGCCACGCGTTTATGATCTACCCGGTATAATTAAAATTACTACGGCCTAGTGGACATTAAACAAACTTTTGTATTTTGACCTTGATGATGATCCATTGCATGATCTTAAGCTTTTTAAGAACTGAACTATTGTAAGACGTCTTAAGGGCTTTTAAAGGGGCGGTTGCTTAGCATTTTTTGGATCGGTTGTCGAGGAGGTAATTATTAACGTGCATTTTAGAAAATGTGTTCTGTATGCAACATAATCGTGGCGCCTAAAATCGGAAATGGATGTTAGTTAACTACCGAAAAACTTACAGTAAACTATTCCGGTTTAAAATTTAGTAATCAGAAAATTATACTTATACGCAGATTATATACATGCAAAAGTCCTGTTAATTATCATGAAAGTATTTTGTTAACTATTGTTTAGATAAATAAATAAATTCATTTAACGTTCATTTTAAAGTTACATGTGTTTTCCATTTCGCACATTTTCTCCGATACAAACTTGTACAATCGGTAATTGTGTCTATTTAGTTGGGACATTCTTATTTGATATTTTTCTTTCTTCTAAATTTTTACTCATGAGTAAGTCTTTTGTACAACCTCATTTTATCTATAAAACTGTACAGGGTGGCCAAATAAGAATGCCAGGTACTGTATCTGGGAACCTGTCCATCGTAGAGGCTTGCGGTAAAAAAGTTATTACTAAAACGGCCACGAGAAAAACCTGGAAGATATTTTTAAGTTCCTGAAATGGCCGCTAGGGGGCGTAACTGCAATCTAAAAAAGTGATGTTTCGTCTGAATTCCGCTATATTAACCTAACAAAAAAATGCCCGGTCTTTGAAGTCGACGATAATCTGAACCTTGTTTGTTTGACAATTTTTGCTGTATCTCTAAAAATGAAGTGGTGGGGGGTATTCAAAGGTTTCCGTAAAAAACACCCTGTATCTTCCAAACGGCTAAGCCGATTTAATCAAGCTCGGGTTAGTTCAAAACAGCTATTCTTCAGCTGCAAATATTATAATATTAAAGTTTTGTTAGTTTCACATGACGTGACGTTAGCTCACGAACAAGATACGAAGGATCGTATACGATTTTTAGTAGGGAAATTATTTGCCACTTGGCTCGTATTCGGAAACCAGACTTTTGATCCGGCTCATATTCAATAGCATGTCTCTTTTCGCTCTCATCAAGGTAGATATGTACAGGTACCCCATACCTTCACTTCGCGTTTAAAGTACATACTCCTTTTAAATATATATTTTTATATATTATATTTTAAATATATACAGGGTGTCCCTTATGTTTGGAATATACTATATAACTCGGTAAATATCGACTGTCTACAACATATTTCTATATGAAAGTTGTTACGCCACTGCCTTGCAGTTTAGGCAAACATTTTAAACACTCATTGCGATGAAAACAATTTTACTGCCAATTTCGTTTTGCCTTCAAGGTTTAATAAGAAACGTGAAAATTAATGAATAAGTAAATGTTCATTTTGTACGATTTATTCGCTAAAGTGTGAGGCACTAGGCGAATTTCACTGCCGCTGTCGTCGCGGAATGTTCGCTATCGCTGCAGCTGCGAATAATTCGCATTGGTTTGGGGGAGCCTTTATGTGTACTTCAGGAATCTACTGATTGAAATTGGTGCATAAATCATTTGCAGCACCAACCGATTTAACTGTAATAAGTTTGAGGTGGAGGTAGCCTACGTTGTACTTTAAACGCCATCTGTGCAGACGATTTTAGAGTTTGTAACTTAATTATTCATAGGGATGTAGACAGTTGTATTTGTTTCTTTGGAACTCGCGTTTCCTAAAGAGTAGTGTCTATTAGTGCTGGGCGAATAAATGAAATTGTTATCGATTTATCAATAAATCTGTTTAGTCCGATAATTATCGATTAACGATTATTCGATAATGATCGATGACTTTTTATACTTATCGATAACTTTTGATAATTATCGCTAACTTTTAATAAAAATCGTTAATTGTCGATAATAATAGATTATTGAAATCTGTCGAAAATTGTCGATCTCTGATTGTTATTGATTAATCGAATAGCGATATTCATCGAGAGAAAACTATGGATACTTTTTCATAAATCCTATTGATATAAATATATTCTCAATGGATACACTCGTTAACAATTTTGGTTATTTGGTATTGATATTGATAATTTAAATAAAAACAGGATGTTTTGGAAAATATTAAAACAAGTATAGGTATTCCGTAGTTTTCTGAAATCAAAGGTGATCAACTAGAACTAGACAATAATCCTCAAAAATTTGGTACATCCTTCAATAACCTCAAAATTATTAGTTTTTAACAGAAACGGTAATTAAGCATAATAGTATGTATCTAATTCACATCAACCAGCCTAAAGTAGGTTGTGAATTGTGATCATATTTTATAAGTGTCATGCCAATTCCCGAATGCTCTTACTTGCTTTTGCGATAAATCGATGTAAGATTAATCGGTAGATTATCGATTTATCGACCAATCCTTTAAAATTAAATTAAATTAAAATTAAAAAATGAGGTAAGTAAATACCTTAAATTACACCCTTTTTATTCTGTCGATGAATTTTTATGTGCGGAATGGCACCTGTAACTATTACTACTTTTTTTCTTTTGTAGTACATGTTTTTGTTTTGTTTCTTTAGTGTTCGTTTTATCTACACTACTTGATGAATCTGATATAGTCGCAGCACTATCATAGAGTATTTACATTATTATTATTATTATTATTATTATAAAATTACAATTAATCGATACATTTTTCAATAATTTTCGATAAATTACCGATTAGTTAACCATTTTTTAAAAAATTAATCCACTATCTATTAATCGAAAGTTGATTAATCGATAATTATTAATAATTATCGATTAATCGTTTCTGTGGAAAGCACTACTTTTAATTGCCTAATTTATCGATTAATCGATAAATTTTTTTAATTTATCAGTAGCCGATTAATCGATAAGTTATCGATTAGTCGTTTTTTTGCACAGCACTAGTGTCTATTACTTTACTTACAAGCTTGGGTTTTAATTGATCTTCGCTATCGCCATGACCTAATCTGCCATACCGTCCTTTACCCCATGTAAATAGCTGTCCAGAGCTTGTAATAGCTGCAGAATGAGCTCCACCACATGCAATATCAATAATTTCATAACCTTGCAGTGCCTCTACAACTTTCGGACGTTCACATCCACTAAAAAACACATAACCATTATTTGGGCAATTAAAAAATGAATTACTTTCTGCTGCCATGACCTAACTTGCCATCGTCTCCTTCACCCCAAGAATAAACATCATTATCAGCGGTCAATGCTAAACAATGTTTACCACCGGAATTCACTGCAACTTTCTTAATAAAAATGTGCTGTATCGGCTCAACCAAAGTAGGGACTGATACGGAATCAGTTCCTCCAATTCCCAAACGACCACCGGCTCCATAACCTAAACAGTTAACGATAAATGTCGAAACAGACATGCTAAAACCTTACCGGTTGCATACACTTTTCCATCTGCTGTAACAGCGGTTAGTGTTTGCTCCCCGCCAACAATTTGAACGGGTCGCAAGCTGGATAAAGCCTCACACACCGTGGGAACTTTTACTTTACCCCCTTCAATACCACCCAACTGACCACGATGGTTATGACCCCAACCGTATATAGTTCCCGAGCCTCCCCACGACAGCGTCCAATCTTCTGGGCGTCTTTAAAGCAACGTTCTAAGAGAATGTCAATGGTACAAACACCTACCTGTTCAGCCAAACCAGCAGCTGCTCATCCTGTTCCCGTTTGAACAGATCGTGCTTTTCGTGCTCCCATACCTCGGTGGTACCATCGGGCGTAATAGCAGCTAGCTTTTTTCTAACTTCCTGGCAAAAATTCTGAGGTAAAGCACTTCGATGTATTAACGCCTTGGCAACCCTGGCAGCGTGGCAGTACCTTCTAAACCAGGACCACTTGTGATTATCAACAATGCCTACTATTTTGTCCAACTCCAAGTCACACGCCAATGCAATTAACACCTAAGGGTATCGTTTTGCAAAAGTGGTAGAGTAAGCTGGACCACTTTTAATGATGCTTTCAAAGGTCACCTTCCTTTCATTAAACAGACCTGTTAAGACACGGCCAGGTGACTGTGCCCCCGAAATTGATAATCAATCATAAACAGAGTGACCCTCAAAAATCGAAAAAAAAGTGATCCAACAAATTAACTGAGAGGTTACCTTAAAAAAATCCGAATGCATGAGATGCAATCCTGCACGTACTGAAACCTCCTCATATTCATACTGCCGTAATAATGCTTGTGGTAATTCTTCGAGTAAGTTTCGTAGTGCACCATCAGGCGCACGTAGTTGCTGCAAATGAAAGCCTATTCCGGATTTTTTATCGTGTCCGGGTGTCAATAACCAGTGGAGCCGTTGCAGAGACCACATTCTTTGCGATGATGCTAAATTTCTTTCGTTACTAAACCATTAAAAGGACTAGTGACATACTTAGGAAGCTTATTTGTGAACAAGTGGCAAGAGCAGCTGCCAACCGTGACATTAAAGCACTATCAGCCGAAGTATACAGTTGGGAGTCCAAGAGGCAAATAACCATGTCCATAGATGGCTGACTGAGTACGGCGCGGTCAGATCCCAATTCTTTTGGGCTTTGGTTCGACATCACAGGATAGACTGTGAATTTCCAACCCCATCCGTTCACCGAACTGTCACTAGTAAACGACCAGTGCAACTCGTCTCCTAATTATGCACATAATATTATTATGTTAATAATATAGGTCACAGTGCATTTTAAAAAATTAAAAATTCGGACAAAATTGGAATCTCCCACCAAGGTTATGCAATTACTTTTATGGTCTAAGAGAAAAGAAAACCTTGCAAATTAAAAAATTGCACCTGAGGTAATAATCCCCTAAGCAAGAAAAATTATTAGAGATGGCCTTAGCACCTTGTATTTCTAACCAACACTATGGGTCGGTTTTATGAAAATCTGGTTGAACCCGTGGTTGGCCAACCTCGGGTGGAATTTGAACCCGTGGTTGAGTTCTCTTACGTTTTATAAACACTTTTAGAGTGGTTGGCCGACCCATAGTTGAGATTTGTTTCCTACTAGTGGCAGTACTGCCTCAGAAATTGGCGACACTCGTCATCATCCCACCGGTTGTAATGATTCACGCGCGAGCGAAAATTTCTAAGCACTCTTTCCCTTGCGTCCCCGTCTTCTGACGAGTTGCTGTCGTCTCTCAAAAATCGTCCTCCCCTGGGTTGAATAATAATAATAATAGTTTACGGCACTGAACACTTGCCAACACTCTGTGATCGAACTCTAACCTATAAAACCGAAACACGACGCACCAGTTGAGGCACAACCACGGGTGGGAGATTTCAACCGCTCGCCAACCTCGGGTCGACGCGAAAACTGGTCCACCTACAGTGACTTTATAAGGACAGTGGCCACAACTTATCATAATCCGTCATATTGGAGCTAAAAATTTGTTTGATTGTAGGATCAATATACCTTGTCATGTCAAGTTGTAACTGTAGAATAATTTAAAGATTCTGGTTCAGAAACAATCGTTTAAAACTTTGCAGAACAACCTACGGGGAAACCACTGATGCTTCTCAAATTCAAAAAGATATATGGATAATGGTATAATACCTAAGTATAAAATATGGTGCAATATCCAAAATGTACATATAAAATAAAGGCTTTGTATAAAGGTAATCATTAATCATTAAATTATGTTTGACATTTCAGTGTGTTCTGTCACTTCTTGTCCCTTTTCGCGTGTTTCTCCTTCCGGGATAAAAAGTATTACTTTATTTCCTTAAATGGAAGACAAAACACATTGATCTAGGCCACAGAGTACAAGAGATCAATATTTCTTGTGCTTCAGCAATCATCAATGTTAAACATTACACCAATTCAAGCGTATTTATGATCACAATTGCGTTATCCATAACCATAATTGAATTGGCTGCCAAGTTTCGGATAAGCTGCTTCTCTAACCAGTTTTCTATCTAAACTCATTAGAGAGAGAGAGAGACGGAAAACGTAAAATTGATTAATAATGACCGCCCACTTTCGCTTTACCATTATTTCTGTCAAATTTGATACTTTTCCATTTGTAAGTGAAAGTCATACAAAAACCAAAGTGTCAACTAGTAACGTGAAGCCGTGA